GAGGGGAGGGGAGGGGAAGTGGGGAAAGGAAGGACAGCAGAATAAGATAGACATTATTATTGCTGTGAGTATATATGTGACTGCATGACCAATGTGTTTCTGCAACCTGTACACTCAGAAAAATGAGAAATTATACCCCATCTGATTCAAATGTATGATTTGTCAAGATCATTGTACTGTCATGTGTATCTAATTAAAACAAATAAAATTAAAAAAAAAAGAACCTTCAGAGTGAAATTATATTGAGTAATTTGAGTGAATAAAGCACTGAAAGGGGCAAAAGCCTGGACATTCTTTATTTCTCCCCCTCGACTACATACATCCCAATTTTTTCCCCTCGCACACAAGGGGACCAATTTACACTTCCTTGCTAAGACCTGGGCATCCCGATCCCAGTTCTAGGCCACAATTTGTCGCGACCTCACTGTGAACCAGGACAAGTAAGTCGCTGCCTTTCAAAACCTGTTTCCCCATTTATGAAGAGGTACCAACAACCTTTCTTCCTACTCTTACAGTTTGAGGTTTTCTCCAAAGTCCACAGATCTGTGCACCACCCCAAGGGTTCCAACTGGTACCGGCGTCTTGACACTAGCGATGTCATGACGCCACCGCCTCTACCCTTTCCAGGAGGCCTCAGTTAGTTCCCCAGTAGTCAAGGCATCCTAGGGCGGGAACTTGAGAAGGACAGCAACTACGCCACTATCATGCGTCCAATTTGCCAGGTTATAACATGGCCACCGCAGCAACACCCAACCCAGGCTTCTCACTAAATATCCTGACCTGGTCAGCCCTGGGACCTAGTTCTGGACAGGAAAAGGAGAAACAAACGCGCCAGCACAACCTTCAGAACCTCCGAAATCCTCCACAAGTCTTTTAGAATTTCTGGTAAATCGAAGAAGCACCCGCCCACCGCTCTGTATCGTCACTTCCGTCGGCCGATTTTGCCGAAGATTGACAATCCGACTGTCCATTCAGATACGGCTTCTCCCCCAGACCCAGCGAGGGGTGGCTTTGAGTGCAGGAAGCCCCGCCTATCACCAACGTATCACGTCAGAGTCGCCATGGCCAGCTATCCGTATGGGCAGGTGAGTGTGCTAGGGGCCCGCGAATGCAGGTAGAGGCCTAGCCCCGCTCAGCCCAGTCCCGGCCCCTGGACTCTTCTTTCTCCCAGCGTTGTTTGCGCCTCCTCACGTTGAGGTTCGCTTCAGCGAGGCCTCGCGCGAGGGAGAAGGAAAAAGGGACTGTCGGTCGCACCCGGCTCACGTCACACACCCTGCTCAAGTCGCGTCCCGCCCCATCTGACGCCTCGATTGGGATGATTTGGGAAACTTCAGACCCTACAGATTCAGGCTGGACCCCCACAAATCCGGTCTGGGCCCGTCCTGGGCTCCACACCTTCCCAAGGCTCCCGTGGACGCCCTGGGGCGGGGTCTTCCGTGCTGATAAGGTGTTTAGCGCTCTGGTTTCTTCGATGTCATTAGGGAGTTGGATAAGAAATACAGATTTTCCTACTCACGTACTGCTTCAGAATAATCAGGAGAAATTGTGGTGGTACCAAGATCCTCAACTGAGCTGGTTTGATCACTGACATAGCTCAACGTCTCCATTTCACTTAGGAAAAGTGAAAACCAGAGAAGACACAGTTTATCTGAAGTCACCAAGTACTTAGGCAGCAGAGCCAACGACAGAACCTGGGCTGTCTACAAATGCCTCTTCCTTACTTGACACTTTATTTCAAACCAGCCAAGAACACCATAATATGATTCTGTGGCCAAAATGCTTTGTTACGTGGCAGGATGTTGATAGGGTAGTTTAGAGGGTCCACCTCTAAATTAGGGCCAAATAATAGGATCTTTCTCAGAGCAGTTTTGAAAAGAATGAGGTGATGCTTTTACAGCATTTGGCACAAAGCAAGGTGTAACATGTTGCCTTTTAGAGTTTTGATTTTTACTAGACTTTTTTTTAAAAGAGAGAGAGAATTTTTAATATTTATTTTTTTTTTAGTTTTCGGCGGACACAACATCTTTGTTTGTATGTGGTGCTGAGGGTCGAACCCGGGCCGCACTCATGCCAGGCGAGCACGCTACCGCTTGAGCCACATCCCCAGCCCTTTTACTAAACTTTTAAGATGGTCATTTCCAGGAGGCCCTCAAAACAGCCCCCTCATTTTACAGAGGAGGAAACAATCTCAGGAGGGGTTCTAAGTTGTCCAAAATCATGTAGTACTTTAGGAGATCAATTTCATGCAAGAAAAATTGGAAAACAAGATCAAATGTGATATTACTAAACTCAACTGACACGCCAGAAAATGTAGCAAGAATCACTCCAGAAGGTGCACTCCTATATCCAGTTTACAGGGCATTTGGACTTCCATTACATCTATCATGAAGGCCCAAGTGTCATACAGAGATTGTTATCCCCAATTTACCACTGAGGAACAAACCCAGAGAGGTTAGGTGGCTTAGATGTCACACATAGCAAATAAGGGTGACACCAGGGCTAAAACTTAGAATTCTTTTTTTTTTTTTAATATTTTTAGTTGCACATACTTTTATTTTGTTTTTTAGTTGTATGTGGTGCTGGGGATCGAACCCAGGGACTGACACGCTAGGCAAGCGCTCTACCACTGAGCCACAACCCCAGCCCCTAAAACCTAGAATTCTTTAGAGAGACCAGCATGGGCTGGGTTAGGAGGAATTATATCATAGCAGTGTTTCCCAAACCCCTTTCCATTTGCTGAGTCTTATGAGATGTTAATAGTTATTGTTAATAGAGAAGAATTCTGTGGTCAAAAATTTTGGGAAATACATGTCAAGCAGAATTGATTTATTCATTTTAGGACAGATTAGAATTCTTAATTTGCTAATGTACATTGTGACTCTTCCAGAAATAAATAGAATATGTATTTTATATCAGTCATTTTTGTGATATTAGCATTCCTGAGAAATGCAATTTTGGAAAACATTGCCATAGTACATTGTTTCTCAGTGGCTGGTCTGCATTGGAGTCATCTGACAGCTTTTTAAAAGAACCTATCTGCACGTTACTGAGCTTTGGGGATGAGTTTTGTATGCATCCTAGAAAACTGGCTCAAGTCATCAGGTCAGACACAACTGGACTAGAATCCTAACTCTGTCACTTAATAGTTATGTGTCCTGGGACAGACATATAAGGGCCCCTAAATCTTAGTTTCCTCACATGTAGGATGGGAGAAATAATATCTGTTAAAAGGACTGAAATGAGGAAGAAATGCAGCAAAGCCTACAAGGAGTTTGGCACATTGCTTATACATGCTTGTGTGTGGTGGCAGCTTTTGCTTCTACATTCTGTTACAGTGTCATGTTGTCTGGACTTATGCTTGGAGAGAAATGTCAAAAAAAGAATGCAGGGAGAAAAGGGTTCTGGAATAGAAGAAATGGTGCTTTTCCCCCCCTCCACCCCACTTTACTTTACCTGCTGACTTGTCCCAGGTATTCTAAGAAAGAAAACTGGTTCAAGTCATCAAGAGGTTTGGTCAGTGCTGCCTCTTCCCACCTGCTACATGGTCCTGGAGGATTCCCACCCACTGCTAGGAGTCACAATTCCTGTAATTTTCCATTGCCTTCAGCCCAGGGTACTCGAGCATGGACTGATTTTGGAGTAGTAAACTTTGCTCTTGTGGGAGAACCAGCTTGAAGGATTTCTTAAGAGGTTGATCTCTGAGGCCAGAGAGATTTGATTTCAAATCTCTGAAATTTTTTTGCAGAAGAATGTTGCAAAGGTCTGAAGTTTGGTTTCCCCTCTTTTGAAAAGAAATCATAACAGTATCTACCTCAGAATTCTCATAAAGATTAAACGTGATAATCCATATCAATCCTGGTATGGTGTTTGGTATGTAGTAAATATTCTTAAGTGGAAGAGGTATGTAGATAGGTTGATTATAGAATCAGTATGATAAGTATTAAATGAGAATAAGTGTAAGGTACTAGGATAGCAGGATACCTTAGTTTAGGGGTGCAAGAAAACTTTTCTGGGAAAACATTGCCATTGTTTCTCAGTGGCCAGTCTTCATCAGAGCCATTTGACAGCTTGCTAAAAGAACACACTTTTAGGGCCCACCTCAGACCTATTTTTTACTCAGGAATTTGTATGTTACTAAGCTTTGGGGATAATCCAAAAACTGAATCACCAGTAGGAGTTAGCTAGGTGAAGAAGGAAATTGTATTCTAATAGAGGAAATAAGTTCACAAAAACCAGGAAGCACGTAGGCCCAGTATTTGGGGAGAAGTTTAAGATCAGTCTAGCTGGCCATGGTGGGGCCTACCTTTCATCTCAACTGCTTAAAAGGCTGAGGCAAGAGGATCATCTGAGCCCAGGAGTTCAAGACCAGATTGGGCAACATAGCAAGACCGTGTCTTGAAAAAAGAAAGAAAGAGAGAGGGAGGGAGTAAAGAAAGAAAGAGAAAGAGGAGAAAAGAAAAGCAGTCTAGTAGTAATTGTGACAGGGAAAGAGGCAAGAAATAAGACCAGAAAGATAAGCAAGGGCCAGATCCCTTGTATGCCTTTTGGAGAGAGTGAATTTATTTATTTATTTTAAAGAGAGAGTGAGGGAGGGGAGAGAGAGAGAGAAATTTTAATATTTATTTCTTAGTTCTTGGCGGACACAACATCTTTGTTGGTATGTGGTGCTGGGGATCGAACCCGGGCCGCACGCGCTACCGCCCGAGCTACCGCCCAAGCCACATTCCCAGCCCGAGAGAGTGAATTTATTCTAAGGGTAGCAGGGAAGCTCATGTGTCCTTTGGAACTCTTACCGTGGAACACTATGAGAATGGAGAGACTGAGGCAGTTTGAAACCACTGAGGTAATCTGGGCTAAAAAGAACAGTGACCTGGTGAAGGTTGATTTGAGGTGCGTTCAAGAGGTAGAGTTGATAAAACTTGGTGTTTAGTTGACGAAGGGAAGAAAGAGAAGGTAACCCGGAGGGTACTAGGGCTTTGGGTTTAGGTGACTGAGGTAGATAGCAGGAAATGGGAACACAGAGGTAGGCATAGTTTTGGCAGGAAGCTCAGGAAGCCTTTGGATATGTGGGTCTGCAGCTCAGGGGAGATGAAGCTGGAAAGAAAGATTTTGGAGTGTCAGCACAGAGGTGGTCTTGGCACAGTTCTTGGCTCATTTTTCTTTGTTTGCGTGTTTCTGTCCTTTAAATATTTTAGGAAGCTCTGCTGGTGAGTTTGGGCACCTTATGTCTTCGTGATCGTTCAACCCCTTATTTGGGCTTCTGGCCACTCCAGTAGACACTTGATGGGAAGCTCCAGGGCACAGGCTTCTCTTTCAGTGCAGCCTCCTTCCTTCCTCAGCAGGACTCAGCCTTTGATACTTCTGGGCCTCAGAAGGGTCTTGCAGGTAGAAGAATGAGCCTTTGGAGCTAAAAGTGGAGGAAAAAACCCATGCAGGACTTTCTGAGTGGGTTATTTGGGGCGGGGGGCGTGAGCTCTTTATCACTAGCAGGAGTGCAAATAGAGATTCCAGTGGTGCTGCAGAGACAGAGACTGTGTTATCAACTGAGAGGTTGGACTGAAGGGTCTGTGGGATTTCTTCCAATATGTGACCTTCAAACTAGACCTTGGTGCTGGAGTGAAAAAGAATATGAGATTCCTCTGAGAATCCCTGATTTCTGGGCCTGAAGGCTTTGAAAGATCACCTACTCCAGTCTTTCCCCTCTGAGCCTGCCCACTGTACAAAGCCATTGTATTTGACACAGGCATTTTACAGAATGTGGTGCAGGAACATGCCAGGCACCCCTTCTTGCAGACACTGTTTAAAATCCCAACTTGCCCATTCTAGCTTCGTGATCTTGGGCACATTGTTAAACTCTGTGCTCCTTAATTGTCTCATCTCTGAAATGAGAATAATAGTATTTAACCTTTTAGAACTGAAAATCAATGAAAGTTGATTGAACTGGAAGCACCTAGCAGAGCTTTAATAATTGTGTCCCCCCTCCACAAGCCCCTAATATATCAAATGTAGCTTATTTGCAATTAGCTAAAGACCTAGAGATGCTTTTTTGGTGATACTTTGGAAACCATGGTTACTGAATGAACTCCTCCTGCCTTTTTTCTCCCCTCTTTCACAATCTTATATTTATTATTTTAAAATCCTTTTGGAAAAACTCTCAAAGGGTTGGCAGCACCGAGTAGTATAAAAGAATGTGGAGTCAGGGGCTCTGTTTTTCATTTCTTGTTCAGACATTTACAAAGAACTCAGTGACCCTGGGAAAGCACACTTCCTCTCATCCTGAATTGTGTATCATCAGTTGGTGGCTCTACTTCCGTCATCTGTGCAAGCTAGAAACCTGAGTCATTCTAAACACTTCCCTCTCCTCACTCCCCCTCCATCTCTTGCCTAATCTAATTAGTTGTCAAGTCATGTCTAGTCTATCTCTGAAATAGCTTCAGAATCCATCCTGGTCTCCTTGTTCCCAATTCTCTGTCTGGTTCAGGTCTGCCTGCCCAGTACCTGGGCCCCTGCCTCCCCCACTAGCTCACGTCCACATCTCTGCTGGTTCTCTAAACAGGGCTCTGCTCTCATTACTCCCCTACTGGAAACCCTTCTGTGGTGCTGTTTTCTTCAGCATAAAGCCCAAACACTTTAGAGTGGTGGTCATTTGATCAAATATTTATGAAGGTTTGCAGGTGTCAGGCACTGTGCTGGACCCTGGGGTACCTTGATGAATGAGGCC